TATATTTTTGACACACAAATATTTAACACCGACAGTGACTCAGTGTCTCTGAGCACATTCTCAATACGAAACTTATTTCAGCCCTTTTGTCTCCTGCTTGAACTTGGAGAAACTGGAGATGGAAAAGACATGAAGCAAAACTGTTCCCAGTAGTACAATATATTCTTAACTGTTCTGTCCACCCTAGTTTTAAATTATTTGTATTATAACAATTCCATAAATTCCTGGACACGTAAGATGGAGACATAAACATTTTTCAATGAAAATTAAAGACAGCTATAAAATATCTTTCCATAAATATCTCATTATAAAATTCTTTTAAGTTTTGTTTCCAATTACCAATTCCAATACCAATTAGATATTCCAATATCTAAAAATTTAATGCAGAATAAAACTATTGCATAAAATAGTTGCAAATAGAAGTAAAGCCATTTTTCATTGCTTTATATTTACAGTAAGAATATAATACCATTTTAATGATGCACTCAACACACTATTTCAGCCATTTACTTAATATGGTTAATAATAATTATAAAAGCAATTTTTCTAGCTGACTTTTTCTTAGCAACTCTGTTGCCTGTCTTTTTACAAATAAAGGGAGCGTTTTTTACTCCAGATTGTATGAGTAAAGATGCAAAACTGTTAAGAAACTTATTATAGTAACTTAAGAGAAATAGAAATTTAAAGCATGTTTTCAAGCCTTTGCCATTGCAAGGGATGTTACCAACCCATCTGCCATGACTCTCTGAAGATCTGCAACGTGAAGAGAAGTAATAGCTAAACCAAAAGAACCCTTTGCTCTTGCATGCACACAAAATGCAGCTAAATCAAGGAACTGAAGAGACAAAGTCCCAGAAGATGTAAAGAGAGACTCATTAAAAACCCAGTATGCCTGCCTATTTATCCTCCTGCCACCACATGGCAATAGGATGTCCTGTGCTTGTGTGATTACTAGTTCTCCTAACCAACCAGGCTGATGGTTTGGGGAAAGACGCTTGATTTCCCTGCAAGCTCATCTCTGTCTGCTGAGCAGCTCTTCAAACACTTCCTATCACTGCAAGTGTGGGGACCACGAGGACTGTAGGAAGGGAAGAGATGCAACCCGCTGTTGGCCAACCGAGAGTAGAACTGCACAACGGGCCGGGTCTGCTCTGCTGGAGCACAGCACTGCTTTCCAGAGGCCAAGATGGAGCGCATCCCCAGTACAAAGCAGGACCAGCATTGTATAACATAGGCTGGGTGACCCTGAGAACTGGAATGATGGAAAAAATTCAAAGAACAGAGTCACGAGTTTAAGCATTAAAACCAAAATAATCTATTGTAATTTGGGAGATTGGAAGCATCTTAAGGAAGGAAGGTTCAGGTATGCTAAAAGCGGATGGTGTTAAAATATATGAATATAACAGAAGTATTATATAGAGGTATTACACAGAAGGATATTACTGCTGCTCATGAAAACATGAGGAGAATAAGCAAAGGAAGGAAAAGAACTACTTAAGCTGCAAGGCAATAGGGCAATGTGTCTCAAAGTTGTCAGCATGAAACAGCCAGAAGTAAATCTAAGCCAGAAATAAGAAGGTTGACAAGCACAGCAATATTTTGGACCAGGAACAGCTTTCTTTGCTCTTCATATGTTTCTGCAGGGGGAGCTTCCTAGAGCATATAAAACAGATCAAATTCTTAGATGCCTATGGTAGCCACAGTCCGGACTTGGTGGTCAAACTGATGCTTGTACTCATTCCATGGAACAGAAGCAAATGCTGAGAAAGTGGTGCGATTAGGGGCCAGAGCTTTCTCTCTAGCAGAGCACCAACAGGAGCCAAGATAATGTCTCTGGAGTATGTGTGTTTAACGTACAGCTTCCACTCTTGGCTCATTAAGACAAAAATAGCATAACTTGCTATTCAATAATTTTTCACTGCTGCCCACTCCCAGGTTAAAGTTGGATCCCTTTCTTCTTGAGCTTAAGTAATGTAAGCACAAAAGAATTTCAAAGTGATTTTTTCTGCAAAAGCTCATGTTTCTTTGATCTCCTCCCCACGTTCTTTGTTTTCTGCTGAGGCATGGAGGATGGGGCAGAACACGTGTCCGGAATCCCAGAAGTGAAAGGCGACAGTATGCCAAGGTGCACCAGCCACCACAAGCTGGTCTGGTTGAGCAAGTGACATCTGAACAGTCGTATTTAAAAAACATGGTCTCAATCAGTCGCACAGGACTCAGCGGTGTTCCTAGTCTCTTTGAGAGAAGAATAAATCTGCACAGTATTGCTGAGTGGCATAGTAAGTAACATGATGTTGAAAAACTAACTTAACTTTGTTTTTAAAAAGTGACACTTACATTGCCTGCAGCATTTCTCTGTAAGAATAAGAATGAGATTATTTCTTTTCTTTACATTTCTGAAAAGCTGCTTGTACCAACTGTGAACAATCTGGAAGAACCTTCTCTGTAATAGACTGAGTTCATCTCAACATCAGAAGCACAGGGTCTACTCAGATCTCTTTCATATTCCAAAAAATAAAACCTGCTTGAAGACTAACAAATTGGTCAGCTATTTGTGATTCCAGACAACTCTTTAAACATCTCTCAAGAGCACAGGGCTTCTAATTGTAACAAAAAATGTTCACAAGATCATTGCTGATTACATAAAACAAACATGGACAGAAGCTTAAACTTCCTAGGGAAGTCTACAGCACTTACATGTTTTTGACATTGCTGAAATTCATCCACCGTGAAGTCCAAAATCCCAAACTGTCATAGTCATTTTCATTTATCTAACTACTCTGCCCTGTTTTTCCCAAATTTCACTAAGTACAACTACCACTGCTAAAATTGGATCAAGATGCCATGTTTTTTAGATCTACTTACTAAAGCTAATGGTAAGCTTTGTATTTGACACCTTTCCCAATGACATACATCTGTGTTTCATAATGTTTTAGATAATTTTCAGTGAAAACTGAGTGTAAGGCGTTTTATTCTTTATGGCTCTCCCTAATCCTTTAAGAGTCTGGTCGATCCTCCAAGCCATGCTCTTCTTTTCTGTTCATGTTGTAATTTATTTTTTTTTTAAGGACTGCAGGATATGAGCCAAAGATAATTTGAACTTTTCTCCCTACCTGTTGGGATTGGGGTACTATCCCTAGCTATTACCCACCAGCTTTTCCCATTCCTGAGAGGATTATTTTAGGTCTTCCCTGAACTAATTTAAAGGCTGCTGCTGAGCCTCCTTGGCATTTATGAACACTCTCCCACCTCCTCTCCCCTTCCTCAACAGTTTTTGGTTATTCGTTCTAACTAGGGAGCTTGTTAGTCTGGTTTTCATAGTCTAACTTTTTCTGCTAGCATAGTATGGGTTAGCAAGGCTTATTAATATGTAAGACAACTTTATAAAGCCATTTCATAGCCTTGCTTCTTGCTTTCTTGTTTTTCTATTGTGTGGTCCATTGATCAAGAACAAAGTTCTATTGAAAATCAATAGCTGGAGCTGCTTCTACATTTTCAAATACAAAGGTGCCATTAATAACTTAATAATTAGACATGTGGGACATGCATGGTTGCACTGAAATGTTTTAAGAAAAGAAGAGTATGAATACTGAATAGAGTAAGTAACAGCTTTGACATCAGCTTCAGAAATAACAAGGTATTCACAAAGCAAAGAAGAGAAAGCATGTAATTTCTCTTGCCTAGCCATAACTTCTTTTTGTCATAAACCCACCACTTCAATGTCAGAGACTCGGGCAAAAGCAATTAAACATACATTCAGTTTCATACAATGGATTGACCCAACTTTTGCCTCACAGATATAAATGCATCTAATTTCTGTCATTATAGTTTCACAGCTCAATGATCTCTAAAGGCAGAAACATCAGTTCCTTTCCTTTCATGCATGTTGTTCTGTTTCTATTTAGGTATCTTTGTATGCTTCCCTCAGTACATCTCCCACCCACATTGACTGCTTTCTCTCGATCCTCTATTTGTAAGCTTCCCTACCCTCCCCCCAGGATGTATTTCTAGCAGCTGGGTTCTCTCCTACACAGATCATCCCTCCTTTTACTGTGAAATAGCAAGCCAACCACGTAGACATAAATGAGGCTACATTGAAAGAAAAAATCCATTTGCTATTAAAAAACCCACCTCCACCACAAACAAGCTGATTTTGATGGTTCGGTTTAATGGCGTATACCTTCATGGGTGTATGTAAACCAACACTAAAAGGCAGAGCTATTAGAGAAAAGTAGTTTTCATACTTAAAAGTATATTAATGCATACTTCAAGATCCTAATCTGCTTAAAAATCTTTCACCATAATAGTGCTTACACAATATTATTAAATAAGAGTATGACACTATTCCAGAACATTGTAGAAACAAAACATATAAATGTGCTCTTAAAAATATTTGTCTCATTAAGCACATTTCCACAGTTTGATGCTTTTTGAAAAGCTTGAGTATTTGTACATCCACCTACAGAAGTTACATGTTATATGGTACCTCATATTCTTTAGAGAGTAGCTAAGTATTTGGGGTCAGTATAGATAAGCACAGTTTAAAGAGTTCCCATCTGCTTGTCTCATTGTTTTAGATTTAAAAAAAAATGGCATCAGAGTGTACCAAAGGTGCAAATGCTTTGAATTCTTGTACTTATTTTTGCACTGGAGAGATAATTTAGGAAATGCTTTTCTAACACTAGTCATTTCATATGTGCAAAGTTAAAGTTATTTCCTTCTAACTCATTTGGAGAAAGTCTGTTCACCTCTGTCACTGCTCACAGGTCACTCGGACTCTAGGAATGCAGACCTCCTGTCATGTAACCTTGCTGTACATCTGCTGTACATACATCCACGTACATCATTTCCTTCTCTCTTTGTACATTTTTTTGACTGCTTTACAAGTCTGACTGCTTTTTATGTCACAGTTTCCCCACCACAAATTAACTATAAGGGACAAAATCAAATCTTGCTTTGTCTATACAGTTTCATTTCAACATGAGATTTTGAATTCTTACCATGGTCTGTAAGTTCAGACGTGCGGAGTTGACTCGATGTCTCATTTCCACTTGGTTCATCATGTCCTGTAGACACATAGTCGCACGTAATCACTGGCTGAGAATGAATTAGGGGTTTTGAAGTCTGCTCGTCAGATTCCTTAGTCGAACAAAACAGCATGAGGAAACAGGTAGTTAGAGCTTTCAGCAGGATCACAATACAAGGTTGCCCTGATCTACACAACTACTGGGATTCGTATTAAGAAAACACTAAAAAAAAATCCTAACTTTTTTGTAAATGATCAGTAGTGTCTCAGCCATAAGCAGAGACGGATCAAGCATTATCTTTTCCTCCAGAGACAACAGGAAATAGAAAGTAGACTGCATGTGAAAGAAAAGGTAGAAGACAAAGCACTAACCAAAACCTCATTATTTCTGTCATGTTTTCACTGACTCTTTCCAAACTGACACTGTTCTCTCTATGATAAAACATGGTGCTAGAATTGAACAGGCCTATCTTCTGTTGCAGATAGCTTAAAAGCAAAGGACAGCTTACACTGGGAGTCATTGCAAGACTTAATTCTTACTAAAAAGCCAGTTGAAATGTTAATATTCTTAACTAATCAAATGAAAAGAACCCACAGCCATGTCAAATTAGAGTGTTTAAAAGATTACAATTCTAAACTTATCTTGAAAATTAATGCATTTTGAACTCTGATGTCATGCAGACTGTCAGCAAGTACATTTCAGAGAGCAGATTTATATTCAAGGGCGACTTAATAAAAGAAAATTGTGCAATGAATAGAGAGTTTGTCAAACCTTATCTGAATAACTGAATGTGCTTTCTCTCATCTCACAGGTTCAGCTAAGCTGTCCAGACTTTGGTGCACTTCCAAATTACTACTCTTAGAACAGGACTGTGCCTCCAGTGCTACAGAAAGCATGTAAGAAACAGCAGAGTGTTGTACACTGAGTGTGCATAAATGAGGCCTCTGAAACAACAGCCCATACGTACATGTAGGACGTTGACATTCAGCTGCTGAAAATTACGGGACCTGAATTCTTGCATTCTTTTGATATTTTCTTGATATTTTTCTTCTGCCAGCTGTCTGTAAATACAGAATACTTGATATCAGGGATTGCACAAAGGGATCTTCTAGAAATAGATGTGGAAAAGCAAATTCCATAATCAGACTCTGATGTTGCCAAACCACCACAGCATCCACCCAAGAGAGGTTAGTTTTAGTGAACTCACAAAGAGATTTCAGGCCTTATTTCCAAATACTATTATTTTTTTCTTTCACAACTTGCATAATATATTTGAGAAACACTAAATTATTAGTCCTAGTCTTTCTTATTTCTTCCAAAGGTCTTAAATACTTTGGACTTCATTCCACCCTGTAGTCCACCTTTCAGCTGAAGACAGGCAAACAACACTTGCATCCTATGGAGACTTCACCTGGGAGACAGCTGGAAACTGTGTTTTACTGTACAAGACTATTTAAGCCAGTTACTACATTAAACAGCTTTTCCAGTTCCATTCCTGTGTTCCCTTCCCATTCATCTCTAGATTTGCACTGCTGAAAGCAGTTCTCCAATCTGAGAAGGTACTGGTTTTACACTGTTTCAAATACTTTCAACCAGAGTGAGCTGGCAATAACCCAGAGCTGAATATAGATCCATTTTAAAGATTCGTGACTGAGAACAAGATTTGAAGATTAATATGTTGCCTTTATATTACAAAATAAGTATATTTAATTTTGTTCCTGCAGAAAAGAACTTGAAATCTAAATAGAAAACACTAAAGTACAAGAAAGGAAGGAAAATGAAAAGCAAACTAGAACTAACCTGCAATGCATATTATTTCCTATTTTCCATTCATTTTTAAAAAGTGAAAGAGGCAAACTTCCTATTTATAAATTTCATATAAGTACAAATATTGGCCTACCATATTATTGAAAACACCATGCAGAAGAGGTGTTAAATTTATACAGTGGTTTCAATTTAAGGAGATTTTTTTAAAAATGAGAATAAATTTACATACTATCTCCAGTATCGAAGGCAATAGTAAGCGTCAGACAGACGTACACTGTGATCAGACATATATTCCAAAGTGAGATGAAGACCTTTAGGTTTTCTGTTTGTAGTGTTTGGGTGCTGGCATCACACGTTGGCACAATTAATGCCAGGATGTGATTTTACTGAGCATTTTCACTCAAATGCAACTGCTATTGGCTTGCATGTATATGTAGCTGCAGAATTGCCATAAATTCAGACTTCATGTCACCTTGTAATATTTTTCTGTACGAGGACATCATTGCCTTACTGAATTGCTGACTTGCTTTGGTACGACAGGGTTAATTAAGATGCCAATTCTTATGTTCAAAAATAATTATTTCCTCTCAGCCTCTATAAATAACCAAGTAAACATTTGTTAATTTGCATTGCACTTTGCAAAATGTTCTTGAAGAAAACATTAAAAATGAATAAAAAAATGAATGTGGTGCTTTTCCAATTTTCATTCATACCAAATAAAACATTGAATATTTTTAACTGGTAAAAACCCAAGTGTGTGATCAAAACAGTATATTCTTATTATTATTTAAAAAAATGAATCCATGCATAGACACATAGTCCTCCTGTTGTTTCCCATATTCCACTCAGAAATGGTGCTTATTCTCCTTCAAATTCCTCCTTTTATTATGTCTCACTCGATAAAAAAAATATAAATCATAAAGCCTTTATAAGATGTCCATTACCCCTGTTTGATCATTTGGTAAGACTATCTTCTGAGCTATTAATTTTTATTGGCAAATCTCTTATGCCAAAACAATTGACAGAAGCTGGATTGTAACTAAATGTCCAACTCCTCAGGTTGCACAATTCTTAAAATAACAAGTCATTAAAAGAAAAATCTCCTATCGTAATACATCTGAAAAGCTCTCATACACTTATTTAAGCAGAAACATAGTGTACCAGTTTTGGACTAATGTTCTCACTTTTGTTGCTAATGTTATGCTCAACTTACTTCAACTTCTTTGCTTTCTCATCTGCAGTATTTAACTTCCTCAGCCTCATTCGTTCCCGTGGTGTCATTTTCTGTACTTCAGAGAGTTCCTGCAGAGTTTGTAAATGAACTTTCCTCTGACTGAAATTGAATACATGCAAACCCATCTTCATATAAAAATGCAAATATCAGTATTTTGATTTGATATTGAAACATAGTGACATTTCAAATGGAATAATTAGAAAGACACAAGTACTATAGCAGACTAAATAGACCTTAGTTTAGAAAACAAATGCCTCTTTTAAATTGAAATATTTAGATTCATTAAGAATGTGAATAATTTCAGCTGAGAACTGAAAAAGGTAAACTCAGCTCCTTAAAAGAATAAATGTTGAAGCACAGTGAAATATGTACCCTGTGAGGCTTCATTATTGAGCATATCCCAAGTACAAAGGCAGCCTTTAGATGAGAACCACAGAAAAAAGCAGTATCACCCATACATTTTGCATTGATTGTTACAAGCTGTCTAGAATAAAAGAGAATATTAATGTGCCTTTAATGACAGTTATAATTATCATGTTGTCCTTTTGAATTTCTAGTGCTAATCAATAATAACAATTCACCGGTAAAATGGTCTCCACAGACCATCTCTGAAAGCTGAGCATGAATTATTGACATATGTATCTCAGCTGTATTTATCAACAAGGGAGAGCAATATTAGTCCTATATCAGAAAGAGGATATTAATCTGAGATTTTTATTTCACATCCTACAGTAATTAAACAAATTAAACCATAGCTTGCAATGCCTCAGCAGTCATATTTCAGTTACATCACTTTTTCTATTGGTTATATTTATGATACCAAGTATTCATTTCAAATTACTATTTTTGCTCTTATGAGATAAATTCACTTCTGATGATCTAAGAGCCCAGTTTTGTAACCATATAAATTGCAACACTCCTTCTGGACTATTATTTTGGAATCAGGATTTTAATAAACTAGAAGAGAAGTTTTCGTAATGCTTTTCAAATCTTGACTATAGAGGGAAATAGTGTAAAGATATGAATATTAGTGTGAAATACAAAAGACTAAGGACAAAGACAAGAAGACCTCAATTATTCATAAGAATGGAACTAACTCTTCAAGTATGAATAATGTAGACATATTTCTTGTCCCCTGTAAAAAACTCTAATTTAAATTGTAAGAACCTCTTGGGAAAAAACCCATTTTTCATTCAAGTTGAAACTGAACTTGTACAGTTTTATGCTTACTTAAATATTTAAAATTCATTACTTGCATGGGAATGGAATAAAGTAAGCCATTAGAGGCCTTTACTAGAAGAAACTAGACTCAACTATACATGGAAAAAATTATTCCTGGTGAGAAAAAAAATCATAAATATAAAGTAGCAATGATTGGGGAGGACACCATAGCAAGCAGCTCCTTGTACACACACTCAGGCTAGAGTGTTGCTTCACTGCAGCAGATGAGGGAAATGCACTATGTTTAAATTATTTCTCCTCCACTTTTCTGCTCTCTACCATTTTTCAGGTATTTTTATTTCATTTTAACTACCTCTTTAGATTCAAGATTGCAGAAATTATTTGACATTTTGCTTACCAGAAGCCATACAGACATCTAATATTCTCATAACTACAGGGAAAATCATAAGATTATGACTTTATGCATATTCCAAACATTTAGCCAAAAAGAATAAGACTGCAGCACATCTGGAGATAATTTATAGTGAAGCTTCTCCTAGGACTTTTTTCTCAAATTGATGCCCTCAATTTAAAAACCTTAAGGTAAATTTCCATGCTCAAATAAAAACAGTTGCCATCCATTGCTCCACAATTTTTAGGACCTTTGCACAGAAGCAGCTGACTTCCTATTTCCTTTTAACAAAAACGTAAGAACATGATGTTTGTAGTTAGAACTTGCTCTTCATGTTAGAGACTGCAGACTTACTTTTGAACAAGAATAGTTACAGATTCTGGGATATAGATGAATGTCTTCCCCATATGTTAGCTCTGTCAATATATGATGTCCATTTGGAAGGTGGTAAGACTCTATACATTCAAACTAATGACAATGGATCAGGGATAGAATGTAGTACATGTTACAAATAATAGGAAGTGGGTTTATCAGTCTCCTCTAGAAGCATGGGGATATTTAAAGTCTAGGTATATATTTTACAGGTAAAAATATTGATTCCTCAAAGCATCTACAATGTTTTGGTGCATATAGATAATTTGAAATCCTGAACCCACAAATTAATGGCTTAGATTAGTAGTTTCTGCAAAATTCTCATACTTAATGTTTTTATGAGCATTAAGCTCTCAATATAATTCAGACAGAGTTAGCAAAATGTTTGGGCAAGATTCCAGCACCCCCAAACTATTTAAGGTATATTTCTGAGGAACATCTCTGCAGTTAACTATATATTTGGAAAAGCAGGAATCCACTCAGAGTTAATTGAATCAACTCAAATACAGCAGCCACAGACAAAAGACATATCTAATATTTCCCAGCTATTGCATATCTACCCGCCTGACTACCTGAAAATGTATTTCCAGTATACTAGCAAAGGGTTATTTCTAGCAGAAGCAATCACATAGAATAGTAAGGTGGCCAAAAATTTGACAATAGTCTCAGCCAACCCCATTTGCTGTTATTTATTAGATAGTCCTTACTAGCCAGTACAGGTATCGTTCATTGTTGCATTTTACATCTAGGCTTGCAAAGTTTAACATCCTATTTATACTAAAAGCCCCTATCTACACCAAATCAGAGAACCTTGGTCTGATAAATAGACAGAGACTCATCTGTCCATGAGAGACAGCAAGAACAGAAGTGACAGGGTAAAAACACCAACCACAGTTTCTAAAGAGCTTTACGGATACACTCCCAGCAGTTAAACTGGGTGAAAAAGAGGTACAGAAGATTTTGCTGTGTTGAATTCCACTGTCTTTGCTCTCCATTCTTCCTACTGCCGATACTAAATAAGACTTGCTTTCGAAAAGATGAAGCTGGTCACCTCTCCTGAAGGCATGCTTGCAAGCAGCAGAATTAGCAGCATCTGCAAACTGACCACATCTGCAAAACTGTGGGTCCTCTCCAACAGCAGAAGAATGAAGGGACGTCCATTGCACCCACACAGGACCACAAACTCCTGATTTTGAGTGTGCTAGCTCCTTACAGAGCAAAACCTCATACAGCAAACTCAGGGATAGGAAGCAAAGGGGAGGGCCAGCTGCCATCTGAACTGCAGAGCTAATTTACCAAGGCAAAATGAAATTGCATATGTTGACATTTGCTTTAATCATGGCAGCGTTGTAATTTAATGCAATTAATTAATTTAATATATATTCAGTGCCTAAATGAGAGAGACCATGTGCGAAGGCACTACTGATGTAAGAGCCAAGAAACATCACTAGCCTTAATTTCTCACTATAGTTACAAAACAGATGTAATAGTATCCTACAGACTTATTAGCTGAATATTAAAGTGTATATGCTTTTAGTCTGGTGTCATTAAGGAAACACAGCTTTCACATTCAATAGTTAGTAGGTACACAAAAACCACCACTATAAGTGATTGTGACATAATTAAAATGATCTAAACTCTCAAAATGTAAAGACAAAGGTCATAATTTACATACTAATTGGTACTAAATTAACATATGCATATATTACACATGCATGCACAATTTACAGCTATATAATAAAAATATTTTATCTGTAAATTCTTTTTTTTTTTCCACCAAATTTAATTATGCCTCTCTCTAATGTGGTTGCTCTTCTGCATTTCTGGAGAATGGATCCCTCTAAATATAAAGCACTACGAGACTAACACTAATGTTTACAACATAATATTATTTGGCAATATTGTAATTTTGTATACTGGTGCCCATAAAACACTTAAAAATACCTACACAGCATCAAAAAGGGGAGCAGCTTCTTTCTGCCAGTCAAGTGCCTTGTCTTTCACCCGCATGTTTGTGAATTTGCACTGCATATTCTACAAGGAAATAAAATAGGAGTGGTATCAATACTTGAAGCTAAAGTGATCCAGGCTCCTCAGCTATGACTCAATACAGTCCTAATGCAAAAACTGACTGAGAAGCTTCCTTCCCCACCTTCTTAGAAAGCCAAATAATGTATACACTGAAGCAAGGACCAAAAGAGCAAGATGCACTGATTTTCATTAAAACTATGACTAGCCAGAACAATTTAGAGATTATACATACCCAGGCCCAAATGATCTGCACTTGTTACACATAAATGTCCATTCTCCTTATGGCTCACAACATTTCTAAAGGGGATACATTCAGCATGTAAAGTGACAAGGGCTTCATTTCTCACTGCCTTGCTACCTCAGTCATATTTGCAATTTAGCTCTGCAAGTCGTCAGGATTAATGTTCCCATGAACTGCTATCTAATTATTTTTTCTCAACACACTTTCTCTGCCTCCACTCTGCTTTTGCAAAATACATACTCAAACAGTAAGTGTACAGCTATCACTTTTTCTTATATACCTTTAGTTGTTCATCAATATAAGGGATTTTTAGAATCTCTGCTGCTGCTGGTCTCAATGAAGGATTCTTATTTAACATGCTGAAACATTAAAAAACAAAATTAATAATTAAGCAATTTTCCAAATTAACTTAAAAACTTGCTAAACAGGACAATAACATACCTGCATAGCACAGCATTCAGTTCGCTTGGATATCTATCAGGAAGAGAAGGTGTATTGCCTTCTACAATTTTTAACACAACAGACAAAAAATTGTGTCCAGTAAATGCATGGTTCATACAGCACATCTCATACAAAATGCATCCCAGAGACCTGGAAGAATAAAATAATAGGAATAGTATAAACAATATTTTTGAAAGTAGCATGCATAGTGAGATTAAACTAAGTAAAACTACAATTGTATGCTCTTTTCTCCTGGAAATAGGATATTTCATTATAGTGCTGTCTTTTTCATCTGAAATATTTTTAACCAGACCACAAATCAGTAACTTTACAAACAGGAGAAATCATCATTCTATTTCCATAAGTGCAGGCACAAACTTAAATTCTATATATAAATATACATACCTATATATGAATAAGGTAAAACCACATTTTATGAACTAGCTTTTAAGGAGTTACTCATTAAGTTAGGAATGAATTACTTTAATTGGTGACTGACTGACAAAGCAGTTTACCAGTGTTTGGACATAGGTTTATGTAAACTGGTTATTGCAAATTAATTTCTGACAACAAACTGAGGCTAAAATTCAAATCAATTCAAATTAAATAATGTCAGTTTCAAACAACAGAAGTGTCTTCTGCTGTGATTTCACTCATTTGGTCAGATATTCCAAATGGATTCTGAAATAGTTTTGGGCTCAAAGAATTATCAAATTTTAGATGATGGTATCATTTTGCAACATCTAAAGCTAAATTTCCTTAAAATTTTATTTGGAGAAGAAAAGAAGGAAACTGAACATGCAGGTCTGGAGACCCAGCTTAGAACCAGTGTCAGTTTTAAATAATTAAAAACTGGAAGGAATAATTACAAACAAATTTTTAAAGGGCCTTTGACTTACCATCACCTTATTTACCAGCTCTTAGTTACCAGCCTGTATGGCGACCATAAAAGATCACCCAGTTGAACATTTTAATGTAAATACTCTCACAATAATTTATAAAATGGATATTCATAGCAGTTTGTGCTTCAACTGGGTTCTGCCTGAAAAATGTTTTTTAAAAATTAGGGGAGTAGAGCTTTCCAGGCTTTGAAGGATACTCGGGGTTACCTCCAGTTTGCAGTCAGGAGAACTGAGGCACTGATGTGTGACTTGATCAAAGTCATAGAAAATGCTGGTGAGAGTCAGCTACAGGACCAGGCCCACCTCAGTAACCAGCTTAAATGTCAGAGCAACTTTACTCTGAATGTAGTATTTGATTGTGGTATTTATAATTTTAAAAAGCAGTATGAAAATAAAGAATAGTGATAATAAGTAGAAGTACACATATAGGTGAATGGCTTTGATTAAAAGAGTATAAACATTATCTTGAAAATGAATAATGAATAAAGTTTCAATTATTCATTTTGGTTAAAGAAGACAAATTGATTTAGTCCGTCTGGCAATAAAAGAACAAGAGTAAGTAATTTTAAAGCTGAAACCCATACATTGCAAATATACAATACAAATAAAAAAGGGCAGAGAGAATAGGGGGACTCGCTCCCTGGTACTTTTTAAGCAGTATGTGAAAACAATTAGCAGAACTTCTTTGCTAACAACTGCATAAAGACCAACTACTGAGATACAAAAATAATTGCTTGATTTTTTTGAGACTTATCTGCCAACCAGTTTTTAAACTTCCAGAATCAGTAAACAGTAGCACACAGATAACGATCTGTATTTATGATCTATGTTCAAACTCTGAAACAAGATAATCACTACATGAGAAAATACTTAAAAACAAAAAGAACAACAAAAACTCCTGCACACATGCCATCTGAAAGCATCAAACAAAAATGGAAACCAGCCAGAGGGAAGAAAAAAGGAAGGAAAATCCCAACCTGACAGACTGTACTATAACTGCTTTTTGCAGAATCAATCTGTTTTGGAGGCTGCTTGGTTCTGGCAGCTAGAAAATGCTTAATGAGCCATTAGGAGCACAGGATTTGCCACATCAGGGAAGCCCATTTATTCATCAACTTTAGTAGTCTGACTACACCTGAGGCTTTGGAGAAAGATGAAAAGAACACCCAGGGCATTCTGCTGCAGCCAGGGCTGCGAACAGGCTACCCAGGGAAAACCCCATCTGTCCCATGAAAGAAAAATATAAGGGAAAAAAAAATATATAAGCAAGGGAAAAAGAATAAAGTTTTTACCGCAGGATACAATTCTTTGATATGAAATAAACACCTCCTAAGCTGAGAAATGTTGCCCTAGGTCCCAGAGCAAGGCTATTTCTTCCCAGGGCAGCTGCTGAGCAGAGATTGTCCAAGGGAGTTAGTGCCAAGATTTTGCCTCAAAACTGCTTTTCTCAGTTGTGTTTCTACAGTCCTGGTCTAAGCATCTTGTAAGGAGCATATTCAGCAAGAGAAAACTGACTCCTGATTCCCATAAGCAACCTGCACACAACCCAAACATATAATTTAATTACTCTTATAATCTTAGCTTGTATAACTGCCAGTGTTAGACAATTCTAAAACAGTCATTAAGTTATCCAGCCAGAGTATTTTGTTTGATGGCCTCCTCTGTTTGCCAGTAAGTTTGACAAAGGTCCCAAACAGCACATCATTTCAGCAAAACCAACGCATGAGCATTTCACATTGAAGTCACTTATGCTCAATTGCATCATAAGACGGAGTGTCTGGACAGGCTTCAGTGTCTTCCGCACCACACGGACTGACAGATCTCTAACTTCTTCGCAGGAGAAACCGCCCTGAGGTTTTTGGTGCTACTTGTTTACATAAGCATTGCCGTCCTTTTAACATCTTCTGATCTTTTGTATGCTATAGTCCTTCAAAGGCTGTAAGGTCCAAGTTAAATTAACTCCAAAAGCCAGAAGAATCCAAATCCATATCCCTTTGTGGCTTATATCTCTCTGACCGATCGTACCAGAAGGTCTTAAGAATATGCTGACTCCAGAGTCTATAAGAAATATGTACATGCACATACATAACATCATAAATCTCCCAGCCATTACTTTTCAGGTCTTCACTGCCTTCACTGCTATTTTTGGTATTTATTCTACATAAATTGGCAGTTAAAAAAAAAATAAATTTTTGGCTTGTTAGGATTAAAGAAAAAGACAACTTGGGGGAAATGTACAGACAAGCGAGCACAATTAAAATGAAAGTCACAAGATCCGTGGTATAGCAAGCTCAATTTACCCAAACCCTACAGACAAACCATCTGTCAAAATCCACAGCGCTTGACAGAAGACATAGGCTACAATGGATTTAAATGTGACTGTAACATTGCTTTGTCTCTGGAAGACAAAAAGGAAGTTATTTATACCTTTCTTCTAAAGACTTTGAAAGTCTCTTAGTGAAAAAAAATATTCGTTTTGCAACTAAATTATTTCTGTTATCATTTCTGTCTCTGAGATTATTTATAACATATACTATGCACAAATCCTTTGAAAAGTTCCTGGATAGATTTTGCCTTACATGCTTATAGCTTTGAAAAGAAGAGAGAAATATGATTGCTGGTAACTGTTTGCATATACTTTATCTCATCCACTCAGAAACAAAATATGATATAGTTACAATAGCCACTTCATGGACAGGCACTCAATATTTGCACTCAAGGACCTACACTGAGCCTTGGCAGACTCCCAGCCAGTAGGGATTTCAAAGTCTTATATGAGAAACCCCAAGCTTCACCATTAAAAAACCTGCCAAAACTGCAGGTGCAATACAGGCTAACTACTAATGGCAAGCAAATCTTGGTAACATTATTCAGGAGCTGAACAGGGAGACAGTTTCCAATGAGATGGGCAAGTGTGATGCTCAATCCCCAGTATGAATAAGCAGGACCTAAACTGATTTGGAACCCTTGTACCAAGGGAATCCCCAGTTTTCTGGAACAAAAGAGATCTCTGGGGAAGCTACAACAGCATTCTTTTGCTCTAGGACCATTTGCAGGACTTACCATTGACCTGTTATGTAAGTCTGGGTTTTCTAGGTTCCATGAAGATAATGGAAAGTACAAAGGTATCTCTGTTGTTCAGAAAACCTCAGCTAAAAAGTTAGAGCTCCCCTAATGGATTAGTTAATAGTCACAACTGCCCTGAATGCCCTCAGTACCTGCTTTTAGTCTACTCTTCCCTGGAAAGAAAGGAAGCAAATTGCAACCATGTCCCACCACGTGACTTCACCTTTCCTGACCATAAGAAATGCCCTAAAATGACACATAAGAGTCTTCAGGTTGCTTGACACATGAACGCAGTGCCATAGCGTTGGGGGGGGGAATGCCGGCCGATCCCCAGCACCAGCACCAGTCCCACCATGTGGTGCATAAGGCCAGGAAGGGTCACCAGGACCCCGTCACAGCAGTGCCTCTGGGTCATGCTCTGCTCATGTAAAAGTGAGTCCCAAATATGTGCACACACATCGCTTGCTAATCCTACACCACACACATCACTTGCTAATCCTCCACCCGTCCCAGCTTCTTGAACTGTCACTGTCTCAGCTCGGCTGCTGGCGCTGCACTGACTCTCCTCCACCCACCAGCTCGTTACGGGGAAGCACCAACAGGCAGAGGGGCTGGAGAACTCCTGAACCGAGACCAGCTCCCCAAGAAAACTCCTCTCCCGGAGAGGAGGAAACCCCAGACTGTGTCATCTGCAAAGGCTTTCACATCCTGCCCGGCCAGTGCAGGCTCAGGGGTGATACAAAAAATACGGATGGCAATTTTAATTTGCCTCCTGTGAATTAAGATTTGGCATAAAGCATGGAATAGCAAAGAACTCCAGCCCTGAAATCTCAACTGAGGATAAGCATAAATGCTGCAGCTTTTCTGAGCCTAATTGCAGAACTTCTTCTATATGCAAAGACTCTAAAACATGAGGCTTTTTCCCCGCTATTGACCTTGGGTTACAAAGGACGATACTCCTTGTACCAGCCGCTGCACTGTGAATATTGAAGCCAGATTTGAAGAGCCAGTTGCAGAACATTTCAGTGAACCTGAAAAGCACAATTTCTCTTTAGAGCTCATCATTAACACACCGTAAATTAAGGTCTTTCCAATGAACAATGATTAACTAGACCGAACACTGAGAGGACCACGGTAACTTAGCAAGATAGCAATAACTGGCTTTGGTAGAAGATATTTTACATTTTCTTACATTTAATATGGGAACACTTTCTGAATTTTTGTGTGTAATATCTTGAGTTCTGCTAGAGATCAGAAGGACAAGTCTGAAGACAGAACATCACTTCAGGTACTCATAAAAGACAGGCAACTTCTTGATGAGCAACTGAACTTCCTGCAAAGCAGCACAAAGATTTCATCTCACCTGGAGCCTCCAAGGTGAGCTCCCCTGGGTGCTCAGGGACCTCTCATGTTTCAGGCCCCATTAAACAGGGCAAAAAAAAAATAATTAAAAAATCAAATAGAATCATTATTTAAATATTAAATGAAGAGATACAATGACCAATGCATCAATCAAATATGTGAGTCATGGTAGTTGACAAGTCCTGATCAAAAGAGTTTCCTGGCTCAGAAGTTCTTTGGGGGCTGGGAGTTAGTGAGTCAGAGCACACCTCCTCCTTAGTGCCCCTACAGCGAGGGCCAAGCAGCTCCTACTGAAGGCAGTTCCACCCCCGAATAAGTGCTCTGGTGCTGCTTTGGAAAGATTACAAAATGCATAAGGTGTAGCAAAAAGCTAATAGCCAATGACTTGTTGTAAGGGCGGGTGGAGATGCAGGACATTTCTGCTATTTTTTAAATTCTGAAAGGGTGATCAGCACATCATCTATAAATACACTGGACAAAATTCTGCTTTCATTTATTCTGTACAAATTCAACGATTGTATGAATTGACACTTGTAGCAACAAATAGAACTTAACATGTATTTTCCATTCTATTTCAACTGCAATAAAAGAAATTATCCTTTACAGTAATAGAGCACAAAAGGCATGTTTTCTTGTCCGTTTACTTGTTTTGACATCTTTTGAAATCTCCTCTCAATATATTTTTATTGACTACAGGTATTAACTTATCTTTATTTTGCTACAGATGAACAAGAGAGAATTTGACATCAAATCCATCTCAGTTCAGCTACACAGACCGTGACATGAGATTGCTGACACATCCGTTGAATGGATTAAACATGCTAACTGTGAAAAATGGTTGCTACAAGTTGAAAGTGCAGATGACTGTTTTCAACATTTAGATTTATATCTTGCAGTCACAAATATATTTTGAAAAGGCAGAATTGAGCAGAAGCTAGAGCAAATTATCAAGTAAACAAACTACATTCCAGTCATCAAATGCTTTACAAAGGAAATTTCCTGATTTGAAATATTCATAAAAAAGGAACCTTCAGATTAGCATACCTAAAGAAATAAACATGTCTTAACAGAAGAAACAAAGCACATTTTATAAAAAGAAACAAAGCACATTTTATAAAAAGAAATACTATGACAGAATTTAAAAAACACAATAGTTTTAACCATCATCTTAAACCAGAATGAGATGGTTTAGGATACAAAGATAAACAAGGCAGATATTTTCCCCATTCCAAAAGACATTCTTCCTCTTAGCTTGCAGGAATACCTGCACCTCTGAAGCTTTTCTAAAGTCTTTCAACAAATCTCAGGTTCTCAACTTGATTCTTTAATCATCACCTCAGAAGTCTTGATCTCAAGAATTTGTGCCAAGTGTAGAACTTACACTTTACTTTTTACCTTTGATCCTTTCATGAAACACGGGGCCTTTTTGCTTCTGTCCTAACACTCCAGTTATTCTCATTTTCAGCTCCCCTTCCACATACCTTCTTTCTTTTTACATTTGCCAATGTTCCTCAATTCAGTTCCTAAGAAGGTCCTTCTGCTTCCCTCTCAGCCAGGAATCACTCTCCTCATCTACTTGGAAGTTTAACAGACAGCTGCTTCTTTCCCTTCATCTTTCTCAATGCGAGGAAGAAAAAGTTTTCCTCCTCCCTACCAAAACTTGCACTTTGTCTACAGTCATCCTGTGTCATGGCAGAGACTGGACCTGAATCTTAATCTTCTTTGAAGTCCCACGTAACCCAGAATGAGTAAACCACATGCTTCTTAACACAAAGAGCAAGCCTTCTAATTGCAAAATATGACACAAATGTTCTGGAATAATTTTAGTGGAGAAGTGTGAGCACCCTACTGAGGGAGCCATTTTTAAAAAAAAAAAGTAATTCCTAAATAAAGTCAATTGCTGACCTAGAAAATAAATGCCTAGTCCAACTGAAATAGCATGCTGACTACTCACCAAATGTCGGATTTTGTGTTATATCCCTGGTGCTTCAGTGCCTCTGGACTCATGTAGTATGGTGTCCCAGTAAATGTAGTTGCCAGATCACATGAACCCATCAAAAGACGAGAAACTCCAAAGTCCCCTAAAAGCAACAACAGAAACAATAATCTATTAATATAAATTCCATAAATCTATACATATTCATACAAACTCTTTGAGCTTATTGTTAGACGTGATACAATGACTGTACATCCAGAAAAACGACCAGAATTTTAAAATATGGAAAAAACAATTTTCTGTAATTCTTCAAAATAAAAACACTAGAAAATCGTAAAACTATAGAACGATGTAGATTTGAAGAGGCCTCACAAGCTCATCGATTCAAACCCCTGGCCCAGAGCAAGGCCAACTTCAAAGTTACATGAGGCTGCTCAGCTCCAGGTCCAGCCAAGCTTGGAGCATCCTCAAGGCTGGAGATTTCATTGATTCTCTGGGCCCCTATTCCTGTGCCTGACTGTCAAATAAATGTTTGACCACAAATGAAAATGCTGTATCAGACGTGACTTCATCTAAATCTCCTTATTGACAAAAATTCTGCTGGACTGTTCCAGCATACTAAAATATATGTTTAAAAAGTATGGAAATCTCACCAATTTTAAGAAGATTAGTTTTCAAAAATATATTCTTGGCTTTCAAATCTCTGTGAAGTATTCGCCTGGAATATAAAAGGAAATTCAACCTCATCCAACTTGAAGCATTCACAGTCACATATCAAGTATCCCAAGTATTTATCTTCACCCCCTGTTAGGAAGGCCAGCCCACCACCAGCCTCATTCTAGCCCTGAAACTGACAATGCACAGGTGATGGCATTAAGGAGCTTCATATAAACACAGAGGTGCATTCACTGACACCCATGTACAGGATGAGAGCTTAATCAGCCTGGAAAGCAAAAATGAGCCCAGGGATCCCAGCTTGAGAATACAGACACAGGCTTAACACGAGCTGCAGAAGAAGGGAGAAAAGCAAGCTTTCCTATCTGGCTCTTCTTAAAAGCTTTATGTCTTATTTTCTGCCAGAAGAATGAGATGTCTCACAATAGATTAAGAGATGAGAAAAGCAGCAATAAGAGATTCTCAAAGCTCAGGGAACTCTCCTTCAGAGAAAACATATAAGTTGAAACACAAATAAATATATAGACTAGGCTAGTAATTCAAATTTTTACAGTAATGGTGTGGAAGATAAAAGAACTTTACAAAGAGAGAGATCAAAAGGGAAAGAAAAAGAACAACTAGCTTTACAGATTTCCATTAAAGACTGAAGTATCATCATAAGCTACACACCACGTGGGGAGAAACAGCATCTTCTCAAATTCTTGAAATCTTAATGTGTAATAGTAATTCTCCATCCCCTTAGGAAAAGAAAATATCTCTACAGTATACAAAACATAAGCCCATATATACATATAGTTTTATAAAAATCTTGCTCTGTTCATTTAGATTCATAGTCTTTCCTTACCATTCATCACACAGAGTCCTTGCAAGAACTTGACCTCAGTGAGATAGATTTTTCTTGCATATTGCTGTTGAGTGTTGGTGAGTTTTAACCCTTTTTTGTTATTATTACTTTGTAGAAATATAACCACAGACTCTTTGAACCTACAAGTTTTCTGGATATCTACGATTTGAATAGCAGCTATCTTGATGTATAAAAACTATCCAGAAAGCTTTCAGTGGCATATTATTTGAAAACGTGATAAAGAGAAGATGTTTGGGTTACATTAGGTTGAATTAGATTGTAATGCTAATCTAAACTTGTAACATATTGATGATAATGCTATGCAAATTATTTGCATTATCCATAATTGTAAGATGTTTTTATATATTAATATGACTAAAAAATACTCCTGGTGATTCTTTAGAACTTCCTATGATGATGTCTCTCAATGCAAGCCACTTTATTCTGCCAGGATATATCAGAAGATAAACAAGTTATAAGCTAAAACCTTAACTGAAACAGCTACTTTAATTCCAATAAGAAATAAATATTGAGCCTGCACTGTAAATCAAGTTTAAGAAAGAGCGCAACACTTTGTTGTAGTAAAAGACAGACATAAAAGTAACAAGAATTAACCAGACTCCAGCAAAACTTAATTTAACTTGACAGTCAGAAAACTGGTTATTGATATTTTGGGTAGAAATTAACGCTTAAGGACAGTTTCAAATTTGGGCAATAAATGCATCCATACCTATGTTCTATAGATTACCTGCCTGTTGTTTCAGAGTCATAAAAAACAGCCCAAAGCACTGAGTAGGGGGCAGCCTCTCTGAATAGAGCATCCTCTGCAACAACATACCAGCAAGTAAGCTGATTGAAGCTGAAGTATTTTACTGCTGTGAAATATTCAGCAATTAAATTATCTTTTATCTATACAAAGAACTATTTAGAAAAGTAAGAGGTTCAGGGTAAGTCTGAATCCTGAATCCTGTACTAGGGAAGACAACATGAAAGCCAGATAAAAGTACTTGGGCAAAGCCTGCTACCCTGTAGATTGAAAGCGACAGATTTGTTTGCATAAATGGTAACCTGATAAAAATCTCTGTGCTGGCATATTTTTCATGAAGATTAGCAAAATGATGGATAACTTAATGGTCAGCTTTATTCAAATTGAGGTTAAATGAATCAATAGCCACATTGCTTGATTGATGTGGGATCAATTTTGTGCAGTGATGTGCAATGGGCTACAACTATGCCAGAGAGACTAGATGATGGTTTCATGCTAACTTTCTCCATCTAGATAAGATCACTGAACTATGTTGCCTCTCCTTACTTCTTGCTCTGGTTATATCAATGACAGATGAGGATTGAATCTATTTAATTCTAGACAATTTAGCTTTCAAGTTTAAAATTAAAAAATCCTTCCAATTATGCAAAATAGCCAGTAGATAGCATAATGACCACAAACTAGTCATGCCTCTTTGGGATTTATGAAGCATAAGTAAAAGACAGGAATGTCTAAAGTAAAAGACAGGAATGTCTAATCTGTATAATCTTTATTATTACAGGAAAGGAAATCAATCTGAGGCAGTGAAAAAGTTCTGTTTTAAAAAAAATTCCCAGCATAAGAGTTTTTTTTTTTAATAAAGTGCAGAAGTTTAACTAAAGCTGTGCAAGAAAGACAACCAAGTGGATAGTCTCTGTCTAAAACCAGAAATAATAATTTTTGCTGCTCTGGAATAAAAACTTCCATGCACAGCAGCTGGATTTTCTAAGGAATGGCATGAGGAAGTCCGACCCACAGGTAATGAAGCTCAAGCTTCAAATTCTAGGGCAAAGTCTTCTTTGTATTAGAACATAGTTCAAACATATATTGCAGCTTTTTTTTTCCCATATCATTCGCAAAAAATAAAGTATGACTTCCCTATACCTAAACAGAGGGCAGTTATTATGTTTCAGTAATTCAAATTAATTTTTGTAAGTAGTTTTAAATTCTTTTAAGCCTAATCTTTTCCATTTAAGCTACTGTTTGGCTCTAAACACATAATACAATACAGGAAATGCAAACAAAAATAAAACTGTCAAGGCATTTGTATGTGTCTGGAGAGGTGCTATTAAATAGCTATGATTCAAAGAGAGAAAATGAAATGCTGTTTGGAAAATCAAATTGCTGATTTCACCGGAGAATTAAACTGTACTTTTCAGGAAACCCAGTAATTTAATATACATATTAACCAAAAAGAGTTCATTTATAAGAATTTTTTTTAAGGTTTATTTGAGAACAATTAGAAGATGAGAAAAATAGAGAGAAAAGAAGAATAGACAAAAGGGACATGCAGGAAAGGAGGAGATAAAAGAGGCATGAGGAAATACAGAAAATGAAAGACAAAAAGAATAACTTATACAATAGAATAGAATAGTTCAGTTGGAAGGCACCTACAATGATCATCTATTCAACTGCAATGTCATTGTTATTCTGCATTGGTCTGCACAATGCATCCTCTAAACAGATATACTAAAGAAAGGATTTCACCAAAAGTGGAGTTCCCAGACTATGAAAACTTTTAATAATAAATTGCTGAATTGGAGTTTGAGAAGGAAAAAAAAAAAAAAACCACCACCAAAAAAAAAACCCCAAACAAAAATCCCAACAGTTAAACAATCAGGATTTTTATTTCCATGCCCATCTGTCCCTTCCACCTGAGGTGAATGCCAAGGAACAGAGAGCTCTTTGTTGTGCTCCCATCACTGCAGTCTGTGGGAGTGGCACTTCATGTACAAGCCTCAGATAAATTGGAATTTAGGAACAAAAATGTTCTTGCATCTTGGACACCAATTCACTCTGCCCTTTTCCCTCCAGAGTCTGACACCGTAGGTGCAAAAACTCCTTAGGCATCATTCAGTTTAGGTGAAACGTATCCCACATACTTCATTTCAGCTCAACTCAGAGATGGTTGTTCTTGGTGGCAGGTGATTATCAAATTTGGCCCATGCCCTGCTGTGAAAGTATTTGAAACAGCTACATCAATTTGGTGTTTTCACCTACACCCCAGTGCATAATAATCTTGTTTTATGAGTAATCATGCAGGATAGAAAACTATGGATTCTAGTTTACATTCAGGTTGAAAAAAATGGAATTATCATGTCCAGATTCTGGGTGTAACCTACTCTTCAAACATAAACATGTCCCCTCCCGGCTGTATTAATAATTTTGGCCATTATTTTAGGCAGATTAACTCATCTATCCAAAACATACCGGTGATTCCAGACAAACATCCTCAGCCTCTGCTAAGACAATTCTTGCAGCAGTGAGATTCTTATTTCTAAAAGCTCAATAGGAATAATAGTCCAAATAGTTCAACTTGGCAGGATGAAAAATATTGGACTTTTGGGCTACAATGCTCTTTAGAAAGGATTCTCTGTCTTGTTCATTAACGTGACATTTCAGAGCTGCCAATAGGCAAACGCAACAGGAAGGAGACAGAGGAAAGGAGAAGATGGAAAGTCAGGTTGACTTCAGCCAGCTCACTGTTTCTGAAAAGCTGCTACCAAAGGAGCTGGTATTCCCATTTGCTCAGCTGTTCCTCCAGCTCTCAATGAGGGTGGCATAATGCTGGGCCTTTTGCTCCTGGCTCAGCACTGCACTTGGTCTCTCTCATACCATGCTAAATAGGCACACCTACCTCAAAGGTGACAGCACTGGATGAGTGTGTGAGGACCAGACAGGGCTTGTGCACAGGCCCAGTACACTGGTAAAGAGGGAACTGCTTAAATCACCCAAGTCAGCCTCCCTAAATCACCTTGCAGGCAAGAACTGCACCCATGGAGATGACCAGGTGGGTATTCACCTGCATCTACCCATGGTCAAACCAAATGTCCTCTCCCAACATCACTGTATGGATGACCTGCAGTAATTTTTTAAGCAATTCTTTGATGTGCTGTTAAAAGTAATATCTATTTTCAAAAAATGTATGTATGTAACTTCACTGATTTCAGTGGAAGTACATCAAGCACATATATTGGATTCTTCACATTAAACATCTGCAAGACATCCTTGTTGACTTCCCTTGAAAAAGCTGACTTTGTTTTAACCTTTTAATCCATTCTCTTCTAACAATATCAAACTATATCTGTCATGCTAAGTTTTTCGCATGGCTTTTAGAAAAAGTGGGTCTAATGCTGAAAGACATCTACCACAGCACTGCTGAAAGATGTAATAT